GGCCTCATATTTACTCAGAAAACCACATATTAACATCATCTATGTTTGATTGTATTTTTATTTATTTTGTTAAATGTTTCCCAATTACATTTAAAGTTGTTTTATTGGTCTTATATTTGACATTTCTGCTGCACAGTAACAGGTGAGTTTGGAAGAATGGATGATGAGGCTTGGGGTGGAGATAAGAAGTCAGTTTTGAGTATGTTGAATTTAAGATGTCTATGAGGATCCAGCCTGAGACATCCACTGGGCAGTTGGAGATGTAAGACTAGAAGGTAGGAGAGAGGTTAGGGATGGACAGATAAGTCTGAGACTCATCTGCAAAGAGATGATCACTGAATCCACGGGACCTAATTAGGTCATCAACTGAAGTAGTATAGAGGGAGAACAGAAGACAGAGTACTGGAGGACACCCACCCTTAGCAGTCATGACCTGGATGACCATCCGGCCAAAGAGACCGAGTAGGAGCAGTCCGACATGGAACAGAACAACCAGGAAAGAAGAGTGTCCTGAAAACCTGGAGCAGTGGTGTCATACTCCAATAGAAACAGACCCATATAGGCTGAATATTGACTTAGAAAACCACGAGTGAATATGATCTATGTCATTTGGTATTTTTATTTATTTTGTTAGCTGCATTATTACCTAGTTCAGGCTCGCATTGGGAAGTTTTTCAGGCTATATTGGCTGCCTTTGACACCTCTGACCCAGAGAGAGGAGAGTATCAAGAAAAAGAGGGTGATAGTGTCAAAGGCTGAGAGAGGTCAAGGATGAGGATTGAGAAAAGAGCATTGGATTTGGCAACAAAGAAATCATTGGCGACTTTGGAAAGAGCAGTTCCAGTTCAATCATAAGGTTGGAAGCCAGACTGCAATTAAGAAGAGTGAGAGGTAAGGAAGTGGAAGTACCTGTGATTGTATATGGCTTTCTCATGGAATTTATCCGTCCAAGGGAGGAGAGATACAGGAAGATGGCTAATGGAGATGGCTGGGGGAGACATGGACATGTCTGTAGGTAGTTTAGAAGCACTCGGTAGATTTGACCTGAGAAGCAGAGGAGACAATCTGCTGGAATGGAATGGACTAACTTGTAGATGTAGGTGGGATTGCTTTGGCAAAGAAGAGTCACCTCTTTATGTGAGACAGCTCGGTTTCAGGATTGTCTTCAGCTTCGTTCAGCAGCAGGTGTGGAGGAGCAAAGGCAGCAGATGATGGCCCCAATCCAGGGCTGAGGCTTGTCAAGGAAATATCAACAACATAGAGGGGCAAGGGATTCACGAAAAGAGGACAGTGTGGAGTTGACTAGTTCACTAACGGGTTAAGATGGGGAAGGAAGAGAGCGTAGATAGTGAAGGACAATAGCTTGGGAAAGAACTGGGCCATGGAGGGATTAGAGGTCACAACGAGGAGGATTTGCTTCACGGAGACTGGGCTCAATGGTAAAACCCCTGGAGTCTCCAAAGATGGTGGGGCATGTTAAGTTTATTATTGTTAAGTCATATCTTAGTCACTTTGGACTCTCCGTGGCCCCACTTGGGGTTTTCTTGACAAAGATACTGGGAGTGGTTTGCCATTTCTTTCTCCAGTTCATTTTACAGATGAGAAAATTGAGGCAAACAGGGTGAAATAACTTGCCCAGAGTCACACAGGCCCAGTAGTCTATCCACTGCACCACCTAACTGCCACAGAGGGCACGAGGCACTCCCGAAAGCTATTCTATACGTGGCACAGGAACTCATCTCCCAATCTCTGTCACAGGAAGCAACCTCACTGCCACATTCCTTGAGAAGGCCAGCTACACTTCCGGAGTCTGAGATTGAGGCCTGAGACAGCTTAGAACAGGGGTTTTTAAACTATGGTTCACAGACAGATCCCAAGCAATCCATGGATAGATTTCAGTGGGGCCATGAACTTGGATGGGGAAAATTGTATCTTTATTTTCAACAACCTCCTGAAATGCATCATTTCCTTTGATTATGTATGTAGACAACAAACAATATTATGAGAAGGGGCCCATAGGTTTCCCCAAAATGCCAATGGGGTCCATGACACAAAAAAAGTCTTATAAGAACCCCTGGCTTAAAGTCTGCTTTAGAGCAAATGACTCCAAGGATACAAACCCGGTTAACTAAGAAGATGGCAATGCTTCAACAGAAACAGGGAAGTTCATAGCTGCAGTAGAAGGGGGGGCAAGTGCAGAAAGCAGGAGTTTTGTTTTAGACATACCAGGTTTGAGATAATGGTGGAACATTCATATGGATGATAAAGATGTGAGACAGGAATTTAGGAGAAAGAGTAGGATCTGATACATAGATTTAGGAGTAATTTCTATAGAGGTAGTCCTTGAGTCTGTGTAGGCAGAAAAGTTCTCGAAAGTCAGGGTGACCAGAGGGCCCAGGGCTAGCCTGGAGGCACACCCACACTGAGGTGATGGTGAGTGGACAGCAGCTCAGCAAAGAAGTGGTTAGACAAGTAGGAGAGAATGGAGTCACAGAAACAAAGGGAGGACTCTGGTTAGTCAATGGTGTCAGAAGCTGCTGTGGTCAAGGAGGATGAGTAGTAAGAAGAGGCCACCAGAGTTAGCAGAGGGAAGTAATGGGCTGATCGATTAGCAAAGACACGATGAGCGGCTAGAGAGGTCTAAAAAGAACCAAATGTGGTGTGGCATCTCTGGAAAGAAAAAAAATAGGCTCTTTATGAGGAAAAAGGATTTATAGAACTTAATCTACTATCAAAACATGAATTGTGATTGACTCACAAGTCATCTCCCACAGGATTTCTGCTGTATTTTAGAAGACCTGGGGAGGAGGTGGGGAATGGAGTCTGTCCAGGCCCATTCCTGGCCACGTGTAAACTCCCTGAAGACAAGGGACTCAGCAGGTCCATCTTGTGCCTCTGTCACCTCCCTCCTTCCTTCCCCCCACCCCCATCACCAAGCTCATTTCAGAAAAGTTAATGTCTGTAAATACAGGCATGCACATAGTTTTCATAGCTATAAACACATTTGCAAAGGTTTTCATTTTGTTGTTCTTTTGTTTGGTGAGGTGGTGCTAGCATAGAGCCAATCTGTCTAAAACAGGCCTGCACAACATACAGCCTGCAGGTCAGAGGATTTTGGGGGCCACTAGCTACTGCACACTCTTTCCTGTTTATCACATGACCTGTGGCAATCAACTGTGGTCAGCCTGTCTTTAGTTACCTTTACTTGGAAAGTGAACCACTAAAAACCTATCTGATGCCTGAAGTTTAACCTATTTTAATTTTGGCCTCTACCAACTGCCAAGTTGTGCAGATCTGGTCTAAAAGTTTCTGCAGATAGAAGGGTGAACGCTTTCACTTGAATAATTCTTAAATGACTACCACACCTTATCTGGGCATATGTGGGCAGTCTGGAATGTCTTCAGTGGTCCTTTTGAACCCTTATTTCTCATGGTGCCTTTAGAAAAATGATAGGATGTTTGCTGGGAGGAAGTAGGCAGGTACCATGTTATGGGGGAAAAGAACACTGGGCCATGGCTTAGAATACCTGAGTCCCAGACCATCCCCGTCACCAGCTGTATGACCTTTCAGCCTCAGGAGCCTCACAAATGGCTTAAAGTGCCACATACATACAAATATTAGTCACGGAAAGCAGTCTGGTGTAGGTGATGTCATGCTAAAATTAGGAAGACCTGTGTTCAAGTTCATATCGCTGACATAGTCTGGTTTTGTAATCCTTAGCTCTTAGCACAGTGCCTGGCACATAGTAGGTGTTTAATGTTTCCTGACTTTGGACAAGTCACTTAACCACTCAGTGACCCTGGCAGCTCTACAAGACCTTTAATTACAGAAAAGTTACTGATCTGTATTGGGAAAAGAGGTTCCTTACACTGATAAAATCTCAGGTCTGAACCAGGCCCCCACTCCTAACCCCTTCCTTCAAAAAAAAAAATTAATCAAAGAGAAAGTGCTGGACCAGGAAGTATTAGTTACGAAAGTTGAGTCAGATTCAGGTTCAACCTCTGGCTCTTCCATTTATTAGCTGTGTCTTTGGATAAATTACTTTCCCTCTCTGGGCTTCAGCTCCTCATTTGCAAACCGAAGGCATCTGACTTCATGATCCCTAAGGTCTCTTCTACCTCTGTGGCCTAGAGCAAGATGGTTTCTGTTGGTTTTCTTTGCCAGTCTTGCCACTAAAACCTTACAAAAACACCGAGTATGGCGGTGCATGCCAAGGACTAACCCCACTGGGCATATGCAGTGGTAGAGGTTAACTGAGCTTTTAAGTACATTCCTCCACATACTTTGGGCATGTAAGAATAGCCCTGTTTCTCTCCTGGCTAGAGAAAAAGCTCTTGAGAGCTACACTCCCCCTTTCCTATCTCTAGGGTACCAATTACCACACCTTTACAGTAACTGGGGCTCTAAAGGCTAGATGGATTAGACTGAATGCAGGCTCCTAACCTGGGACATTTATAGGTAAACAGTGACTACCAACCCAAAATTAACACATCAAATAAGCTTTTGACTGCAGGCTCTTAATTAGCTATCCTTCCTCCCTTAGGCTCTTCTCCACTTCCTCCCCACTAGAATCAAAGCATTTGGATTAGGAAGAAGAGAGTGGGTCCAACTTTTTAATGCAGTAATGGAGTATGAGGCCAGTAAATCAAATGCCTTGATCTGATGGACTTTGTAATCAGTACTGTAGACTTGGCAAACCACAGCCTCTTTCCCCATTTGTAAAATGGGGATACTACTTAGAAATAGAAGCGAGTATTATCAAACATGTTTTGGCAAAATGACTGTCTCTTAGCATTTCTGCATTAGGAGTCTAAGGGCCTGGGTTCAAATCACATTTAAACCTTGACACACTGTGACCTTAGGTCTCATTTTCTGCATGGACAAAATGAGAAGGCTGGATTAGATGAGCTCTGTGGCCCCTACCAGCTCTAAATGTAGGCTCCTGTGTTGATAGATTATTTCCTACCCCCCATTTCCTAAAAAAGCAAGAGAACAAGAAGTTTCATATGACAACTTTAATTTTTAAAAATACTTTGAAAATGTCATGCCCCTGGTGTTGCACATCTGGGGGTGGGTATTACCTTCTGCCTGCATGTCTCTGGGAGTGCACAGTACCCTTCCCACTTGCATGAACCATCTCAATCAGTGCTCAGGGATCCTAGTTGTATATATCCCGGGTTTTAGTGTTGGAGACTGATACTCCAAGGCATCTTCCTGAAGCAGCAACACCTTTCTTTTGCAAATTTGATCATTTCCCCCTCCAAAATGGTCAATCACCTATACCCAACTCTTCCAGTTGATTTTGCCACCAGCACAGCCTTCACAGAATCTTGCCAGGTTTTGCAGCTGCCTGAGAAAAGTCAACAGAGTTTCCAAAGTTTAAAAAGCAATTCATCCAAAGAGACTATTCTCTGGAATCTCCACAATAGGTTCCTATTGCACCTATGTAAAAGCAGGCAGCCTAGTGTATTACTAAGAGCACCAGATCTGGCATCAAAGGTCCTTACTCTGAATCCTGGATCTGCTACTTACTGTGTGAGCTTGGACGAATCACTTCCCCTGCTTAGGCCTGCTTCCTCATATGCAGAACAAGGGGTTTTGGACCACACAGCCTCTAAGGTCCCTTCCAGCTCTAATCTTTTAAGTTCCTAACACCTGGATGTGTTCACGCTGAGCTTTAATATATTTGAAGCAGATAATACTAACCAGGGCTGAGTTACTAAAATGATTTTCAACATCTTCTGCATTTAAAAAGTATATTTTCCATTATATTGTTAGAATACTACAAATGTAGATAAACACTAGGATAACTTTTTACCAATACCTTAAAAGCAAAAACTGCCCTACTTACTGGCTCACTCATTCTCACAACTAGAGAAAACAGGCACAAAGTGTTCAGAGTGTGGGCAGAGGCAGTCAGGAACTTGGGGGCACAGGGCATGCAAAAAGTAGCCACAGAAGAATTTTAATGCAAAACTTCTACTCAAGAAAGCATATGATGACAACGGTGGGAGCAGCACCTGGCAGAGGAAGATGGTGGTAAGGGACAGAGTTTGACTGGCCTGTCCTCTTCATTCCTTACCCTACCCATCCCCCCAAAACCAAAACCTCACCAGCAGGTATGCACACATTAGGAAGCAAAGACTGGAGCCTTCCAAGCCTCTCACCTCTGGCAAGAAGCCAGCAGCAGCAGCAGGAGGGAAAGATGGAGAAATGGAGATTCTGGCTACCCCCAAAATGATCTCAGGGGCACAGAACTTTTGATTTTCATTACAATTATCAGGAACACTGATATGGGTCAAAACGTATTAGACTTTAGTGTTGGAACAGAGATCTCCCAGAGCAATTAAAATAGCTGAGCGGCACCCCAAACAATGTAGGTGCTTCTTGACAAACAAAAAGAACAAAAAAACCATAAAATGTGACTCCTGACCTTTAGGAACTTATACTTAATGAAGCTAGGCAACCTAAAGAAACATGTGTTGTGTGTGTGGCTATAGTCCTTGTGGTTTGGTCTGGAGGTCAAGTTTCATAGAAAGCAATAGAATCCCCAGGCCCATAAAGCTCAAGGTCACAATGACTTAGTTGGCCATTCCATTCCCAAAGGGCTTACTTGCCCCTAGAATACTCCAAATAGACAGAACAAAAAGTTGTTTGTTTTAAACAGTATGAAGGTCACAATACAAAACAACATTTATAAAAAGTTAGGGGGATTCCTGGAAAGAATCCAAATTTCTCCTTTTCCCAGTTCCTACCTCTCCCCCAGTGCCATGCCTGAGATTTAGGAATGGCTCTTAAATCATACCCTGAGAGAGAGTGAACTCACACCATCTGTTCTGGAATTCTTCTATCCATCAGTATTTGCTTTTCATTTAAAAGACTGTAACACATAAAAAGACCTGCCTTGATCTACCCATTCTTCTCTACCAGAACGGTGTCCAGCTTCCTGGTTCTGTTTTCAATTAGTGTATCGATCTGTTCAGGTAGTCAACCCCCCAACAATTTAGCTACACAAACAAGTATATGCTAGCCTCTTACATGAGAGTGAGTCCCAGGACACCAGTGTTTTTTAAAAATCCATTTCTCACCCCAGTGAGTTAAATTCAGACTTCCATCACATGAAAGCATGTTCATTTCAAACCATGCTGACACTGTGTAATCCAGACAGTCTCGCCTGTCTTGCAGAACCATAAACACTTATGGGGTTGATGGTATGCCTGTAAGGCCTTATGTAAGAAGAGAAGTACTGGAAACCATCCCTTATCAAATCCTAGTTAGTAAATACTGAGGACACTTGGAATCCAGGCTCCTTACTCCTTAGATCAATTAACAGTCAGGAATCTTAGAGTGGAGGAGATGGAGCACAAAAACACCAGGACTTCACAGAAGGCAGTCACCTTCCTTCCTCTTTCTGCAAGGGTCCATTTTCACCTCTCACTGTAGCTGTGGTTACATTCCACTGCCCTGTCTTCCTTGAAGATGGTGCCCCCCCACAACTATACCCTATAGCCATCCCAAAAGATAGTTAGTAAATTCTGATTAATGATGACAATAAGTATACCAAGCAAATCTTGCCAGAGTCACTTATCGGGAGCAGGAAAGGCATCATCTTTCCCAAACCCCACTGCTCATTTTCCCTTTTGATCTTTTTTTTCCCATAAAAGTGTTTTAACAAAAGCTAAAATATTACAATGAATAAATAGAAATGAAAACAGGAAAGATAAATGCTGTAATGACTGTGTCCATTGTGCAGAGTCCTGCTCTCAGGAAAGAAGAAAAAACTACTATGGATATACAGGCAACTCAAGAACAAGGCCCTTGGTAGCAAAGATGTGTATGTTAACTTAACAAGGCTTGTGTAGGCATCGTTATTCAGGGAAGAGTTCCTGATTGCCTTCTTCTAAAGCAGCTCACCACCTATTACAATCTCACACTTTCCCTTGGGCACAAGTGTGGGCCGGGGAGTAAGATAAAGAACTGCTAGAACACTGTCACTGTAGTCCCTGGTCCAAACAGCCATGATGGCAGGTCTTTCTTCCTAGGACTGCAGCTCTTCAGTCACTTGCTTCATACTTTTAACTGAGCAATTCATTAATGTTGAATTAAAAAGGATTATGATTTGTTATTTCTAAGGAAGAAGAAATCAAGATTCCAGAGCCTTAGATCAGACCTCCAAATGATTTCATCTTCTTAGAAATTTAAATTATGACTCACAACTAGAAAATTCAATATAGTGAAAGGAGCTTGATTCAAAGCAAGCTCACTAATGTAAAATTCTCTGTTCTTTGCCAAAATCATTCCCATGTAATCACAACTAAGGGATTCAGTCTGTATGAACTCTCTTATGTTTAATAAGAGCTGAACTTCGGCTGAAACTTTTGTCACATTCGGTGCATTCATACGGTTTCTCTCCAGTATGAACTCGCTGATGTGTGATAAGGTTTGAGCTCTGGGTAAAACCTTTTCCACATTCCACACATTCATAGGGCTTTTCTCCAGTATGGGTTCTCTGGTGTTTAATAAGATCTGATCTCTCACCAAAGCTTCTCCAACATTCGTTACATTCATAGGGCTTCTCTCCAGTGTGAATTTTCTGATGTGTAATGAGATGGGAACTCCGGCTAAAGCTTTTTCCACACTCATTGCATTCATAGGGCTTTTCACCAGTGTGGGTTCTCTGGTGTTGAACCAAGTGTGAGATCCGACTGAAATTTTCCCCACATTCATTACATCTATATGGTTTCTCTCCTGTATGGGCTCTCCGATGACGAATGAGATCTGAATTCTGACTAAAGTTTTTTCCACATTCATCACATTTGTAGGGCCTTTCTCCTGTGTGTACTCTGTAGTGCTTGATGAGATCTGATCTTTCGCTGAAGCTTCTCCCACATTCATTACATTCATAGGGCTTCTCACCAGTATGTGTCCTCTGGTGTTGAGCCAAGTGAGAGCTGCGGCTGAAGCTTTTCCCACACTCCTCACATTCATAAGGCTTCTCTCCACTGTGGGTCCTCTGGTGCTGAATAAGGTGGGAGACCCGACAGAAACTCTTGCCACATTCATTGCATTTGTGGGGTTTCTCTCCAGTATGAATTGTTTGGTGCTGGATGAGGTGTGAACTTCGACCGAAGCTTTTCCCACATTCACTGCAATCGTAGGGTTTCTCCCCAGTGTGTGTTCTCTGATGCTGAATGAGATGGGAACTTCGGCTAAAGCTCTTCCCACAATCATAACATTTATACGGTCTCTCTCCAGTATGAGTTCTCTGATGTCGATTCAGGTCTGAGATTTGATTGAAAGCCTTTCCACACTGAGAGCAGATATGGAATCTTATATCTGCATGGACTTCCTTGTGGACAAGGAGATCTGTAACTTGCTGAAGAGGATAGTTTACCCACTCATCCCCAGTTAAATCTTCCCACTGTTCTTCTGACTTGTCCCCACTTTCAAAGCCTTCTTCACACTCAGGAGTCTGGTGAGCACTCTCAATAGGCCTTTCTGATATGTCTCCAAATTCTATGTCTTCAGATATCACCTTTGGATTTGCCTCATTCTCACTCCTGATATCAAAATCTGAAATAAAAGGTAAATGTAGATATCATACAGTCTCCATGCTGGAAAGGAAAGAAACAGTTAACAAAAAACAAAGTTAAGATTCTTAGAATCCAAAATATAATGGCTAATGTATTTTATGCTCTGAGTTTGGAACATTCTCATGACACAATCAGTGAATACTAAAGATCAATTATGTGTTGAACTAGCCATGTAGGGGAGGAAGTAGATTCTTTTGTTGTCAGTTAACTTCTCTTACAAGTGAATCAAACCTAAGGCCATAAAAAGTGGCTGTCAAAGATTACCTGCCCATTCTCAGTTTGTTTTTTTTAAATAAGTTTATGAAAAGGAGATGAGGGTAGGGAAGCCACATGGGAAAAACTATGGCACCTCTTAGAACATTGGCCTATTCACTACCAAGCAGCCATAAAGATTATACCAACTACATAGTCACTATCCCAAGACTTTTCTAAAGTCTGCAGAGACTTGTAACCTTTCTCAAAGATTTCTTTCACTGACTTTACCAGGTCTTTTCCTTGTTCTCATACCAATCATCTGATCAGCAACTAAAACAGGCCAAGGATCTCCATTGTTCCATCCCTCCACACTTTCTCCTAAAGGGTCTTCACAAAGGCTATGTGATCTCATGAAAAATGCACTGGGTCTGGAGTCAGGAAAGCCTTGGTTTCAAATCAAACATCTGACATCCACTAATCTGTGTGACCCTGGAGAAGTCATCACCTCACTGAACCTCAGTTTATGCATTTATAAAATGGGAGAAATACCTTTATTTTCCTCATAGAGCTGTCATGAGAATCAAATGAAATAATATACACAGAGCAATTTACTAATCTAAACACTCTATGTCAACTATTATCACTGGGAAAGGACAAAGCACAGTGAAAGGCGTGATGAAACAGGGAGTTAGAAAATCTACATTTTAGTCAAGGCTCTGATGACGCTCCGTTAAGTCATCTTTCCTCAGATTCTTAGTATCCATATGTGTAAAATACGGATAAGCTCAAGTACTTGCACTATAGACCTCACAAGGACGTGAGGAAAGAAAACATTCTGAAAACTTTAAAGTGTTACATTCATTCAAACTCTTAGGACTGTAGCTGGTCATTGATCTGTAAAAGAACCTTATGGGAATAGGAAGTGACTGACAGCACAAAAATCTGAACATTCTGGAATCTACAGAAGCAACTCCTTCTCATGTAATAAAGTGAGACCGGATGTTTGCACTCTCAGAAGTCTGCGCGTCCACAAGAGCCAATAGTCCAAAGTGCGGACTTCACAGGTCACACAACTTGCTGAGTTCTGAGAGTGGAGCCGGGGTCAGAATCAGTGACGGAGCCAGAATGTGGAACACAGACGTCAGAGAACCCTGCAGAATCCCAGCTGTGTCCCACCAGGTGTGGGTCATTTGTTCTCGCTAAGCCTGTTTCCTCACCTCATAGATTAGGTGAGCTCCACAGGCCCTTTCAGCTCAAAGTTCTATGGCTACAAACCTGGAAATAGAACCAAGTCAGCATTCTTACCTAAGGAGACTACATTTCCATAATTCTCCTGCATAACATCCCGGTAAAGGTCCCTTTGTGTTGGGTCCAGAGGCCTCCATTCTTCCCGAGTAAGATACATAGCCATATCTTCAAATGTCATAGGCCCCTGAAATGAAATAGACTCCACTGTTACCTGCTACCTGAAGGACAATACCATGGTATATGTTGAAAATAATTGAAAACTGAAGCAGACAGGACATGTGTACAGCATAGCCAAAAGTCAACAGGAAGGATACAAGTGAAGAGGGAAATAACCTGTGAAGAAATTATCATCGTCCACAGGTTGATACCAGACCTGTGGTAACCAATGTCCTGAAGATTACCAGGCAATGAATACCCTTGATGGACAGAATGGTACAAATCCAGAGTAGGAAAGGTAACAGTCTGATGTGGGACAGAGAACCATGATATGGGGAGGCAGAAGGCATAGGTTTTAGCCTCAGCTGAGTCACTAACTTACTTCTAGAGTACAAGCATGTCACTTTCCCACTCTGGATCTCCAGTTTCCTCATCTGTAAAATAAAGCTAAATCAAATCGCTTTGTCTAGCCCTGATATTCTGTGACCCAAAGGGGCCCTTTCAGAATGTAAGGACATTCTACACTCAAAAAGTCCCTCCAAGCTCTAAGTCTATGTCCTAAAGGCCATTTCAAACTTAATTCCTTCCTGCTCTTACATTTCCTGTTCTAAGATCCCACACAGCTCTGACATTCTGCCCCTCCCATCCCTGACATTCTTTGTTCTAAGGCCCTTCCACCTCTGATATTCTCTGTTCTAGGGCCCCTCCCAACTCTGACATCCTGGGTTCTAAGGGCCCTCCCAGCTCTGACATTCTGGATTTCCAAAGCCCTCCCAGCTCTGACATCCCCGGTTCTAAAAGGGCCCTCCCAGCTCTGACATCCCAGGTTCTAAACCCCTCCCAGCTCTGACATCCTGGGTTCTAAGTGCCCCCCAACCTTGACATCCTCGGTTCTCATGCCCTCCCCGGCTCGGACGCTGTACCTCGCCAGGTTCGGGGCCGCTCGCCCGCAGCTTACCTGGGAGCCGGCCATGAGGAGGGTGGCCGCCATGGCGGCGGCTCGGGCGCCGGTCCTGTTCCGGGGCGAGCAGACACAGGCAGCGCTGTAAAGACAAGGAGACAGCTGGGAGCTACAGAAAAACAGGCCCTGCCCACTCCCTGGGGTTACGCGGCCGGGCGGGGCGGGGGCAGGGCCCAAACATCCCCGCCTCGACAGAGCCAGCGCTGCCGGCCCCGCCCCCGGGGCGTCCGGGGACACAAACCGGAGGCAAGTCCTCTGAGGCTGAGGAGGATCCGGCTCCCATAGGGCCCCGGACTAGGTCAGTCTCGAGGCAGTCCCCGCCCCGACGGCTCCCAACGCCTCCGCTCGGCCGCCGTTCCCCTAGGCTCGGCCCTTTCCGTTTCCCAAATCCAGCCAATCACAGACCGAGACCCAGGAAACCCCGGCCAATCACAATCTGCATCAAAGGCCTTTCCCATCCCCCCTGGGCAGTGCGGCCTAAGAGGAAACCTGCGCTTGCGCCGAGCCTCGGGGCCTGACGGGAAAGGTAGTTCGGCGGTAAAGCAAGGCCGACCCGAGGCCAAGAGCTCCTGAAGGAGAGCTTCTGGCGGGATGGCTTCTAGCTTTAGCTGCTTTAGCTCCCGGACGCCCCAGTGGCGCCGAGGTTTTCCTCAGGTTCTGCCCAGAATTAGCCGCCCTTAGCTATGTGCCTATAGTACGATGGCTGGCACCCTGCTTTACCCAAACCAGTCCCAGGTTCCCAGCCACCGACAACAGGAGAGAGAGACAGCTACGCCGGCCAACGCCCACTCACCCGCTCCGCCAAGCCCGAGGCCACTCGCTAGGGATGGAAGCTCCGCCCACGTACTACAGATCCCGGCAGCCCCTACGGTCCCCTCACCATCCCCTACTACACTTCCCAGTAGGCCCCACTTCAAGGTCAAGCCTACCCCCTATCTTCCCTTCAACAGAGTGAATGCTGGGGGCGGGGCGGGGCCGAGGGTAGACAGGCCTGGAGGGGTGGAGCCCTGCGGAAGGGAGAGGCCTCAGGGCGTAGCTGGGCCCCGTGGGGCGACGCTGCAGAAACAATAATAGCTCAGCTTTGCCGGGGGGAGGCCTTAAACTTTTCTTAAACCTTAAACCTTCAGCGCAGCCCGGGGCGAGATCGGGGGGGGGGGGGGAGAAGAAGAAAGACGCGGAGAGAGACAGAGATGGAGAGATAGGCACAGAGAGACAGAGATGGAGAGACACAGAGAGGCAGAGATGGAGAGACAGGCACAGAGGGACAGAGATGGAGAGACACACAGTGAGAGACACAGAGAGAGACTGAGATGGAAAGAGAGACCGAGATGGGGAGAGACAGAGAGACCTGGAGGGAGGGAGAAAGACAGAAATGGAGACAGAGATAGAGAAACAGATGGAGAGACAGAGATGGGGAAATAGACAAAGACAGAGACAGGGATGGGGAGAGAGACAGAGATGGAGAGACAGCGAGAGAGATGGAGTGAGATAGAGGGAAGGAGACAAAGAGAGATGGAGAGAGAGAGACACACAGAGATGGAGAGACAGATGGGGGAGAGAGAGAAATGGAGGGAGGGGGACAGATGGAGAGACAAATGGAGAGACAGCGAGATGGAGGGAGAGAGACAGAGGTGGAGAGACACAGATGGGAGAGAGACAGAAAGAGATAGAGACAGAGTGAGAGAGAGACAGATGGAGAGACACAGAGAGATGGAGGGAGGGAGAGAGACAGAGAGATGGAAAGATAGAGATGGGGAAAGAGACAAAGAGACAGAGTTAGTTCTCTCTCTCCAGCACCTCCAACTCAGAACAAGTCTCAAACCTAACTGGAGTCAGCTGGGCTAGATCTGCTTACTTCCTTCATCTCTCTGGGTCTTTCGTTTTTAAATCTATAAAATGAGGGAGTCATACTGGATGGCTTCTGAGGCCCCTTCAGCGCTAGGGGTTTTGTTTGCATGTTTCACTCCAAGCTGACCTCCCACTTAACCCCTCCATATCACAGCCCAGCGTCCCTCCAGTTGCCCAGGCTTGTCATTTTTCAGTCATCTCTGATTCCTCCCCCCCCCTTTGCCCCACACAACCAATCAGTTGCCAAATAATGTCCTTTCTATCCAAGTCTCCTGCATCTGGTCCCTCCTTTCCTTTCCCAATTATGAGGTCTTTTATCTTTAATCTCTCCCATCTCCAATCCAAACTCCCCAGGACTTAATTTCCAAATAATTTTCCAACAATGTCACTCCTTTACTGGAAAGCTTTCAGTGTCTCATTACTTACCAAATAACAAAATGTATATTCCTGGGTGGCACTCAAGATACTTCCCAATCTGGCTCCAACCCACCTTTCAAGCCTTCTAGCATACCGTTCCCCTTCACATTGTCTGCTATCCTGAACAATCCCCTTTCTCAGACTGCCTCTCCCAATTTGTTTCATCCTACTTCCCAGGGGCTCTCCAGTTCCACTGCCCAACCCCCCCCCAAGTTCCTCCCTTCCCTTCAAAGCCTCACAGATCCCACTTCCTCCGTGGAGCCTTTCCAGACTATCCCCAGCACAGATCTCTCAATCTCCAAGTTCTTGAGTAGAAGAGTCTTTGAAAGGGGAAAGAGAAAATCCTACAGTCCTATGGGGGTGGTGGGGAAAAGGGAGAGAGAGACCTGCAGGGGTGGGCTATGGACAAAAGTTGTGGGGACAGCCCCATATATTGGGGAGAAAAGAATCCCATCCACAGAGTAGGAGAAAGATTGGGAGGCTGGGGCAGAAGAGAAAGATGCACAGAGAGGAGTGTGGAGTGGGTGGGCAGAGAGAGAGTCCTACAGAGAAACAGGAGTGGGAAGAAAGGGTGTCCCAGGCAGGGCCAAGTTCTACAGAGTGGGTATGGTGTGAGAAAGAATCCTATGGGAAGTGGGGGGGGCCCCCTCGGGAAGGATCGGACAGAAAAGGAGGCAGAGTAGGAAGGATGTAAGGAGGGAATGGGAAGGAGAGGCTAAGCCCCTTTCAAAGCAGACCCAGAGGAGACCAAACAGAAGGAGAGGGCCAGAAGAGACCTGCCCTAGGGGTGGGGGGAGGGGAGGAGAGAAGCCTGTCAGCTAAGGGTCAGAGAGAAGGAGACTACCAGCCGTAAGCCTCGGAGCAGAGGTCTAGGGGGCTGTCACCCATCAGTACTTTTGCAACTGCCATAGGCTTTGGAAGAGTCCATTTAAAGGCCAAGAATTACGGCTGAGAACCGGCCACTTACCTCTTTGGCCCAGGGGCAGAGTCCTTGAGCAACTCAGTCAGCCAGATTGCAGCTTCCAAGCCGGACAGAACCCAGAGATTGCATCAGCTAGAGGGGAAAGGGGAGCCGCCCAGGAATTCCACCACCTTGGCTCCTTGCAGCTGTCCTTCCCCTGACCAGGGGCTCCAACAAGGCCTTCCCTCTGCGCTGCTGAGGAGGAGCCAGGACCCAAAACAAGTCAGCCTGGCCTCCTGAGTGGGGAACAGCTCAGGGCTCTAGCCAGGGTGGGAGAGAGGGAAGAGGTGGGAAAAAACACACATCAGCTTATTAGGGACTCCCACCCTCTCCATGTTATAAATATCTCCAGAGCCTTGGCTAGGTGCCCAGATGTCTATTGTTTCTAACTGTACAGGGGACGTCTCTGAGCTGGGGGAAAAGGTTTTTCTTTTGTTTGCAGACACTCTGATCAATTGGGTGACTTGATTTTTTCTGAAATATGCCTTGGGGCCAGGCTGGTCTTAGTGTCTATTCTCAGGGCCCAATTGTTTATGGGTGGTGCCCTTAGAGATCACCTAGTCCAATCTCTTAATTTTATGAAGGAGGAAACAAAACCAGAGAAAAGATTTTCTCTAAGTCACACGACTGGTTAGTAACAGTAATGAAGTGAAGGCTCAGAATTGCTGACCCGTATTATGTGCTATGATGAAGTCCATGTGCTAGGTGGTCCAGTGGATAGAGCACCAGGCCTGGAAGTCAGGAAGACCTGAGTTCAAATCCAGCCTTAGATACTTACTCATTATGTGATCCTGAGCCAGTCACTAAACATCTCAGCCCAGTTTCCTCATCTGTAAAATGAGGATAATAATAGCACCTACCACACAGGGTTATTGAAAGACATCACATTTATAAAGTGTTGGCAAACTTTAAAGCTAACACTTATTTTTAGTTGCAAGGTCCCTTCCCCATCTAAGCTCTGTGCTCCATCTAGCAGTATTTGTTTGAAGCTCTGAAACTTTGTGTTCCAGGCCCTCTAATCCAAGCCCCTCAATTTGCATATGAAGAAACTGAGGCCCAGAGACGGGGAGGGACCTCACAATTCACACAACCCTAGAATGAAGGGGGAAATTAGAACATAGAAGGTTATGATTGGGAGGGATCTTAAAATATAAATCACAAAATACAGGACGAGGGGAAAGAAAGCCCAGGGGACATGGAGACAGTAAAAACCTGGGCTCAAAGTCCATCTCTGGCACTTAATTTCAAGACCTTCATAGGCAAGACACTGACCCTCATTTTCCTCATCTGTGAAATGGGTCTTCCCTGGCAGGTTTTTGTGAAGATCAAAAGAATGTTTATAGGGGCAGCTAAGTGGCCAGTGGATAGAGCACCGGCCCTGGAGTCAGGAGGACCTGAGCTTAAATGCAGCCACAGACACATAATGGTTCCTAGCTGTGTGACTCTGGGCAAGTCACTTAACTCCAATTGCCTCACTTAAAAAAAAAGAATATTTATAACCTGTTTGAGAAATCTTAGCCCAATTCACAAATGTCAGCTATTATCAATATCAGAGCTAAAAGCGACCTAAGAACACGGAATCTCGGAGCTGGGGGTCCCTTAGAACATATAATGTCAGAATATCTCATATACCTTTGACGGTGTGTTCCCCTCTATTCCCGTTGTCACCATGTTAGCACAGAACATCAGTACCTGGATCATTGGAGGTCCTCACCTACTTGTCCTGCTTCATCCTTTGTGTCCCCTATACCCCCTTCATACCTCCTTATCCACCTCTAACCTCCCTGCTGACCTCCAGACACACAGCCCTAGCGGCTAGTGGACATATTGAACTGGGTATCCCTTAGATATCTTAAACTCAATGTATCTAAAACTGAACTGATTATCTTTCCCCCAAGTCCTTCTTCTTCCTGATGTCCCTATAACTGTCGAGGGTACAACCATCCTCTTCTCAGTCAGGCAGGTTTGCATCTAGGTCCATCCCAGACTCCCCCCATCCAAGCTGTTGCCAAGGTCTACTGATTTCACCTTTGCAACAACTCTCGAATACATCCCCTTCACTCCTCTGACACCACCACCACTCTAGTGCAGACCCTTGTCACTTCACCTGCTGGTGGGTCTGCCTGTCTCAAATCTCTCCCCACTCCAATCCACCCACCATTCAGCTATCAAAGTGATTTCCTTAAGGGAAAGTCCCATCATGTCACTCCCCTGCTCAATAAAAATTATTCACCTCCAGAATAAAATATAAAATGCCCTGTTTGGCTTTCAAAGCCCTTCAAAGCCTTGTGTCCTCTTCCCTCCCCTCCCCGACCTTTCCAGTCCTCTCACACCTTACCACTCCCCCCCCACCCCAGCCCCACGCTTTACACTCCAGTAACACTGGCCTCCTTGTTCCTCCAACAAGATGCAACATCTCCCCACTAGATACACTCCCTGTTCCTGGAAATCTCTTCCCTCTTCAACTCCTCCTCCTGGCTTTTCTGCCTTCCCCTTTGGGGCCCAACTAAAACTCCCCCTTTTCCATCCCCCTTTCTCCATCGCTCTTCTTTCTAATGCCTTCCTCCTGTGGATTAATGCCAGTGTTCTTGTCCCTAGCTTATTTGCATATGGTTGTTTGCGAGTTGTCTCTCCATCAGACCATGAGCTCCTTGAGAGATTACAGACTGCCTTTTACTTTTCTTCGTCTCCCCAGTACATAGTAGGTACTTTACTAGCTGAACCCTGTTTTTTTTCCCCTTTATTTATATCAGTTCTCTGCTTTTAAAATCTCCAACAGCTTTCTGTTGCCTCTGGAGTAAAGTTCAAATTCCTTTGCCTGACTCCAAAGCCCTTTAAAATCTGGCATCACCCCCACCTTTGCAGTCATCTCATATTACTCCTCTCCATACATTCTGTGCTCCAGTCAGAATGTGCCATGCGCCCACCCACTTACATTCCCTACGCCTGGAATGTGCTCCCTCCCACTTCTCCCTTTGCCTGTTGAATTCCTGCCCATCCCTTAAAGCCTATTTCCAAAGCCACCTCCACCAGGAAGTCTTCTCTGACCCCACTGGGCTAATTTCTCTGAGCCTTCCTCTCTTATAAAAAGAGGAAGTTGCCCTGGATGACCTTATAGGGTCTTTTCCAGTTCTAAATATATGATCTGTGATCCATGATCTACCCTCCACTCTTTCTTAGGGACTTTTCTTCTCTGACTTTACAGGCAGCTTTGCTGCACAGCTGTCCAATGCATTTGTTATAGAATTTGTCGTCGTTTTCCACGTTTGTGACTTATTTGTATGTTTTGTGAGGTCAGAGATCGAGACTGACATAAAGACTGGTCATATAAATGTTTATACACAGGAGCTGCTCAAAATGTGTTGAACTGTGCAATTATTATGACCAATCTTGGTCCCAGAGAAAAGAGGAAGGGTACCTCCCCCCCCACTTCACTGCAGTGGTGGGGAACTGTGGGGATGGAGCCCCACATGTATCTTCAGGCTCAGTTAATGAATGTGTTGGTTAATTTTTCGAAACTTTTTTCTTCTCTTTCTTTTTATTTCTTTGTTACAAGGAAAGGCTTGCTGGGTAGGAGAGGTAAGAGGGGTGTATTCAGAGATGAAGGTAATATAAAACCAACAGATATTAGTTTTACAAATTTTAGAGAATTATAGGAATTTTATACTTTCCATTTAAAATTCTTTTTTATCCATTTAGCAATTCTACAAAACTCCTGGGAGTCTTTACCTACTCAAAGAGCCTAACAGAGGTAATGGGGTTACAATTTCATGTGTTAAATACTTATTAATGTTGAGTCTTAAGCATTTTATCTGAAATGGAAATAATGTCTTTGTTGTTCAGTCAAAAGAAGAGAAAATTTTAGAAATTTTAGAAAAAAAAACTGTTGAGTGGGATTTAGCCCTGGGAAGGACCTTCAAGTATAGAACGTTAGCATATGAAATGTCAGGGATTTGCATTTCACTGACTTCTTCTGGATTCATGTCTTGATCTTTCCTGTCGCCATAATAATTTTCTGTCATCAGGTTTGGTTTTCGTCGTTGTTGTTTGCTCATTTTTCTAGCCTAGTTCTTGACTTTTAACTCTGGGTTAAAGTTGGACTCTGCTTCCATGGTGGAGAGGGCACTGTCCCAAGTTTCAGGTTTTTCATGCTGCTGTTTTCAGAGCTAGTTCTGGGAGTCTGTAAGTTTTCAGTTCTTCCAACATGGTATGATCTAAGGAAAGGTGTGGTCACTGCTTTCCTGGCCTGTGTTCTGGTCTGTCAATGATCACAAGTGCTCTTTTCTACCCAGGAACTGTGACCAGGGTTCCCGACCCTGCTGGTGCTCCTTCTCACCTGGCCCTGCAACCTGGAACAATGCAGTGTACAATGCAAGAGAGCTCTGCTCCCGGTGCCGGCAAAGGGTCCCTCGTAATCTCCTTCTGACCAGCTTTCCAACGCCCTTACTGTCCGTGGGCTAAGAGCTACTGATGCTAATTCAGTCACTCCCAGGCCTGCTACTGGCTTACCAGGATGAGGCCTGTGTGGCACTCTTACCCCAGTGGGAGAGACCTTTCCTGCCAACCTTCTAAGTTGTCTTGGGCTGGAAAATTGTTTCACCCTATCCTACTGCTGGTTCTGCTGCTCCAGAATTCAATTTGAGGCACTATTTTATAGTTGTTTGAAGGGGAATTTGGGAGAGTTCAGGTGAGTCCTTTCCTTTATTCCACCATCTTGGTTTCATCCCCTTAGCCTCCACCTTCAAGGCATTTGCAATGTAGTAGTACCAGGTGAGCAGCCAGGTGGTACAGTGGATAATGCACCAGGCCTGGAGTCAGAAAGATCTGGATTTAAATCCAGCTTTAGACACTTACTAGCTGTGTGACCCTGGGCGTGTCACTTAACCCCTATTTGCCTCAGTTCTTCATCTGTAAAATGGGAACACACTGGAGAAGAAAATGGCAAACTACTGCAGCATCTTTGCCAAGAAAACATGGAGTCAGAGACTGAATGAACAACAACAGTATCAGTTGAAATATTTGCAGCATCCACATACTTATGTAGCACCATTCAGGCTACCCCTTCAACCTGTGCTTGCGTCTTAGAATTGGGTTCCCAGGTAAGGTAACTACTCTTGGATTCTATGGGTAACCCTGTGGGTCTACACTACTAACATTATAACTCACAGACCCTTGCTGGTCTATTTTTCATTAACAATCAGCTGCAAAACAATATTTAGCTCTTGATAAAGGCATTTGCTAAGATGGCAAAGTAAAAACAGTAGCTAAAAAAAATCTCCCCTATACACCTGGGGCATAGTCCCCCACAAATACATATAATATCTATG